ATACACATACAAAACACACACACAAACACACACACACACACACACACACACACACACACACACACACACACAAACACACTCAAACTCGAGCGTGCAGTGTCAAGACATAAGGGTTATCAAAGAGACATTTAACATCTGCCTCTGACAAGATCAAACCAAGTTAAATTGAAAAGCCGAAAGGCCAAGTCAATTAATTGAAAGCTCCCCAAAACAGCTCAAACTTGAAGAACCCCGCCCCGCTCAAGCCCCTTTTAGGGATGCGATCAAAGGACACCCACACCATTACCCAACATGATAGCAACTGAGCTATCGGCACTCCACTTTAACGGTGTCACAACATTGACAACACCATTTACCAATTGAAAGTAAAAGATAAGATAATATAAGATAAGATAATACTTTATTATCCCAGAGGGAAATTTTCCTTGGCTGTACAGGACCGTAAAAACACATGCAGGTATACATAAAAAAATATATATTACTCTCATTAAAATTCAATATGGGAGGAGAAGTAAAGCTGACAAAATGTACATTTACCTCAAATGCATCATTCAACCACATGCAGGAATTTAAATACTAGACCTTTGGAGTTATATACAGATACATACTCTAAGAGCAACACACATCTATGCTCATTCTGACAAAAAGGACCTCATTAACAATAATTTAATTATTAATATAGCTGGGAATGTTTATAATAATTTCGCGTCAAAATCTCCTTCAGGAAATGAAAAGATGCAGGCACGTGCATAATCACTATTTTTTAATTTCTTTATTTTTTTCCACTTTCCTTATTTTGATTTTGCAGAAACTGAACTATACTTTTTAAAAGTTTTATTGGTTAATACGAGTACTGTTAGATGGCATATATTATTATAGGGCCTATAATGCTGCTTAATGCGATTTATAAGATAAATTGTTTGCTTACAAAGTAGTTAAAACCCATGCAACATACACATAAAATTATGCAATTATCATATTAATCAATTAAAAATTTAAAAAACATGTATTCAGGGATACAGGGATATAAGCAGCAACGGGTAATTTGAGAAAGAATAAATTACTATGTAAATAGTTGGTAAATAGACCAGATGAAAGTACGGTACACAACTCTAAGGGCAAAATACTTTTACATTATAAAACCTCTGTCTACTAAACAGAAGCATGTTTAATACATTGTACATGAAGTATTCTAACGTTTTGCAGAGACCTAGCAGACTTTATTTTATTCTCTCCCCCCCTCTCTCTCTCTCTCTCTCTCTCTCTCTCTCTCTCTCTCTCTCTCCCTCTCTCTCTCTCCCTTTCACTCTCAAGCAGCAGTTTTGCTTTAAAATATAGATGAACTGTAGACAGGACTGCGTAAAATAAAATTATTTGTCAGCTTTTTCTGGAGTATATGATTCAAGTAAGTGGCCTCCCTGAGGTTCTGAGATAACTAGTTTTAGACTTTCAGCCTGAAATAAAAGAAAGAGCTCTGGCCGTTTTCTTATGACGGCAAGTCGGTTCAAGGAAAATAAATGTGTTTGAAGCTGATATTAGTTGCCTCAAAGGTATGAATACCACTTGAGATGTAATATGGCGTAAGCCCCTTGATAGATTTTAAGACAGAGGACACGGATCATGTAAATAATGCATATTATGTCAATGGATAACCAAGACAGATCTTGCAGGATTTAGGTCTCATGGCTTTTACTTCTTTCTTTCTTTGTAAGTAGGGCAGCCTGGTTTTTGACAATTTTGACTTGGTTTTTTTAATGGTCTTTTGAAGTTCAGCAAGTAAAAAATACAGAAAATTAATCATCAGTACAAATGTGTTTTGTTACTGTTGTTTTTTGTTTGGGGTTGTTGTTGTTTTTTTGTTTTTGTTTTTGTTTTGTTTTTTGTTTTTTGAGGGGGACGAATTACAATTTGTTTTTGAAAGAAATTAACGAGAAGAATAAATAGAAAATAAAAAAATAGAACTTTTGCTTCTGCTTTCATTTGCGGGCTCTTACCCAATCTTTACAGAACACCTCACAAGATGGCCTTCTATGGTGCAAATCGGAAACAGAGCACGCAGTCTCAATGAGATAAAACAACAAACACTCAAACAAAGAATATTGCCTTCTCTCCTTACACCTCTTACACCTTTGCTCTCTTCATTGACCACAACAAGTCATTCTATAGAGCTAGAAACAAAAGAAGAGAGAAACATCAATATCATGCTCTTGATCTCTTCACACTGGGTTCAGATGCGTCTACAATCAAAGCTTTTCCCAAGGAAGTCTCCCGGAGAGAGAGAGAGAGAGAGAGAGAGAGAGAGAGAGAGAGAGAGAGAGAGAGACGCCATGTTTGCATTGTTGTTGTTCTATTGATTTCACTTCCGCTGAGTGCCGGAAATGTCCTTACAGTGAAACCGGAAGCTGTGATGGACGAGCGGAAGTGAGGTCACTACAAGCTTCCGCAATCACAAGATGGCACTGGCGAACAAGAGAAGAGTTCTTTTGATTGTTGCTAGTTTTCTGAGTTCCGCTGTTTGATTTTTATTATTGATGTGAATATAACTTGGTTGTTCTGACATGCCGGAAACATATCGAAGAAAGGAGATCTTTATTTATTCCTTTTTATTTCAGTTTTGACATCTTTTTCTCTTGAGATGTAAATGAGATATGAGACAAATGAACCTAGTCTTTCAAATGGGTGGGAAGACAAGCAGACAGGTAAAATAATGTATGACTCTGTGGATAGATAGATGGATAGATAGATAGATAGATAGATAGATAGATAGATAGATAGATAGATAGATAGATAGATAGATAGATAGATAGATAGATAGATAGATAGATAGATAGATAGATAGATAGAAGAGAGATTATCTTTTTTTGCTGAGGGAGGTACCTTGGGGGGGGGGGGTCAATTAACATGTAGTAACTGAAAAAAAGATCCCCAATCTTGTTGAGAGATACAGCAGTGTAAGTATTCCCTATTTACCTACATGTAAGAGGAGAGGCATATACACGTAGGTCTCCTCTCCATTTTGCAGGATCTGAATGAATTGAGACAACTATTCCCAATAGATTCCCAAATTGTATTGCTGTTAGTTTGATTTGCTTCCACTCGATTTGGTTAACATAGCTTTTTTGAGATGCCATAGTTTTGTTCCTTCACTCTTGAGCATCTCTTTACTAAAATGATATGTAAGTTATTTCCAAAGACCAAGGTGGTATTACACAGTTTCTAGGCAATTTTCCCGGTCACTTTAAGGGGAATCAAAACATTCTTGCTGATTCCTTTTCTAATGAGTGTTTCATGTCAGCGCATGTAGTTTGACTTACGTCTGTGGTGTAGCGATTAGCTCTAGGTGTTTTTCTGTCGCATGCAGAAGACCAGGGGTGTTTCATCCATAGAGCACGGTCATGCACTGCCTCCCAAAAATTTTAATGCGCACAACACCCACAAAGACACAATAAAAATAACCTTTACCATTCATCATTCAATCAGTTTTCCGTACAAGTTCCTCGCCAGAGCCTAATCGTTCATTACAACATCTGCAACAACTCTACAGCATCTACTATATCATATCAAGTTCTCGTGCTTCATCCAAGTAAAAAGTAGCATGTTCAGTGGTGGTTATCTGTCTCGGAAAATGCTATATGAGCCGACCCAAATAGTGATGACGTTTGACCGGGCTTCATAGTTCACCTATTATATTTGGCAACTGGGAAACACATGTGTCACTTTCCCCATAAAACTACGACAGCTTCAAAGTAGAAAGTTGGCAAGTACCTGCAAAAAGATAAATAGGTCCCCATGACGGAGCCCAATTTTTAAATTTATTCATTTCCTGAATTTAGAAAAATATATTTGACAAAAAGTTCCCGTCTTTCTTTGGCCACTGTGGTTATTCTACTGAGAAACGAAACAAATCTGCGAAGGTCTCCTTCACAACGGAAGTTCATTACCGCTCTTTAACGTTCGCCTAAGAAACACGATTCAAGAGACGGGGTGAGTAATTTTCGAGACTCACCTGTTGTAAGTTGAGATGTGATCCAGTGTATGCATTCAAAGAATTGTTTTTAATATAGGGCCCATAGAGAAAAGCTTTTTTTTTGTTACTGGGTCAAGATTTGTTAAAAAATGTTTTAGTTTGGTCGCTAGCCTGTAGAAGTGCCATGCAAAGTTTCGTGGGCATAGGTAAATTTGTCACTGAGCTAGAATTTGTTAACACTGTCAGAGGAAAGTGAACAAGTTATAGACACTGCCTCTGTGATTTTGAAGACGTCGGCAAGTTCCTTTTACAGTATAGCAGCCCTTTCGAGGATTATTATTTTCTTAGTGCTTTTTGTGATGGTGTAAGCCGAAACCCGTATTTTGTTATTGTGAAGGGCTAAACAGCAATACACAAAAGCAATGTAGATCAAGAGAGGAGTTAATCAAGGCAGACCTAATCTAAACCAATATAGATCTAGAAGCCAGGTGAGACAGTTAAAGGCTAGACAGCAATGTAGATGTAAAATGCCTCCGCGGTGTAGACCAGTAGGAGCAGTGACACCAAGGCGTCTACCCCGAGCAAAGCCGGGTACTCAGCTAGTAAATATTATTAAGGCGGCACAATCTCAATGTGCACCAGCCGAACAAAACCCTTAGGGGCAGTCTGAAAATATCACG